ATTTTTATCAAGGTTTTATATCATCATTATGTACTTGAAGTATCAATAACTGCTTAACTAAAGCATGTTTTATAATAATATATCTAATAATATAAGATACCTTTAATTCATGGTAAATATTCATTTTAAATGCAGGCCTATCACATAAATAAAAGGATTGATTGATGAATTTAAGAACTGAAAATGAAAGGACAAAGAGATGGCCAAACTTAGAAAAGAGATGCCGGTGCAGTCCAAACCGGAATATTGTTTGGTAATTGGGTCATATCTGGAGCTGTAGATCTCAGATTTAGGTCTACTTTATATGGATGGAAAGGTAAGACATATGCCTACAACTTTTATATGGAGCCCAAGATCTAAAAAGGCCATTTTCAAGTTCAAATTGGAGCAAGTATTAGCATTAATTGAATAAGATGACTAATGTAATCATGTTAATAATTTATAATCAGATTGGAACCTCCTTTGTGTGTGGTTTCCAATTGAATAATAAGAGTTTATACTATACTTGTTTGACATACCATTAGTGGATCCTCTAACCTTGACATTTGTTATTATCATTGTTTAATCCTTACATTAATATTTCATCTCAAAGTTATCATCTTCTTCTTCTCCTTCTCCTTCTTTTTCTTTATTATTATTATTATTATTATTATTATTATTATTATTATCATCATTATCATTATCATTATCATTATTGTTGTTGTTACTACTACTACTATTGTTATTAGTATTATTATTATTATTATTGTTACTATTATTATTATTGTTGTTATTGTTATTGTTATTGTATTTGTATTATTGTTATTTATAATTTGTACAATTAACCTCCATTGTTATTTATAATTTGTACAATTAACCTCCATGTGGTTTGACCTCGGTCTTGCCGGGTTATTTATTACTTCGACACTCCTACACTTGGAAGAAGACGTCAATCTTTTCGTCGTATCAGTTATAGTATTTCTCATAAAGGTTTTCTTTGATATGATCTAAGTTGTAGCAAATTTTATATTTCTAGAAATGTTGTCTTCTTTAAAACTCAATAATTATCCCCTACTCATGTTGCATTCTTCTCTATTCTTTTATTCTTTCTTATTTTGAGGATGTGTCATGTTTTGAGCAGTTCAAGTCTGGAATTGTGTATGAAAGACGTCAACCAATTTTGTTACTTCTTGAGACTAACCCCCCACCCGATACTGCTCCTGAGACTACTTTTGAGCCTTTTACTTATCAGCTTACTCTTTGCTGCTCTACGAGAGTATTCATTCTCTTGATCGGTATGTTTTTTCTGCTACTTTATTCACTATTATTTTCCATCATGTTACTTATAAGTTGTCCAGCATGAGTGTTGACAGAAAGCTATGCAGGAGGAATTTCAAGCTTTTCAGGATAATCATACATGAGATCTTATTTCTTGTCCTCCAGTTGTTAAGCCTATTAGGTGTAAATGAGTGTACTCAATTAAACTTCGCTCTGATGGAACTCTAGATCGATATAAAGCATGATTGGTTGCTTTTGGAAATAGAAAAGAGCATGGTATGGATTATAAAAAGACTTTTTCTCTTGTAGCCAAAATGACTACAGTGCGCATTATTATTGCCATTGCTGCTTCCCAAGGTTGGCCACTTCATCAAATAGATGTCAAAAATGTTTTTCTCCATGGTGATCTTAAAGAGAATATTTATATGGCACCTCCACCTGGTTTGTTGTCATCATCTACATCAGTTGTGTGTAAGTTGAAGTAGTCTTTGTATGGTTTGAAACAAGCTCTCTAAGCATGGTTTGACAAGTTTCGCACTACCTTGCTTTGCTTCTCTTTTGTGCAAAGCAAATATGATTCCTTTTTATTTCTTTGCATGACATCTACTGGTTTTATTCTCCTTTTCATTTATGTCGATGACCTTGTCATTACAGGCCTTCAACCCCATCTTCAGGATTGTTTTTTATATAAAGGACCTTGGTTCTCTTACTTACTTCTTGAGATTGGAAGTTCATTCTTCTTTTTTTGGTGTATTTTTGCATTAATATAAATATGCTTAGGATTTAATTGCTTTGGCTAGTCTTTAAGATCTTCCTCCAGTGGATACTCCTTGAATATTAAGTTTTGACATGATAACTGAGATGTTCTTCCTAATCCAACTCTATATCAGCAATTAGTTGGCAGCTTGAATTATATTACTATTATTGCATAATATCTCTTTTACAATTCAACAAATCAGTAAATTTATGCAACCTCTTTATCATTTACATTTGGTTGTTGTTCATCGCATCATTTGATATCTACTTGGCTCTTCTAGTCGTGACCTATTCTACCCTACTAGTTTTTCTATCCACCTTGTTACTTTTAGCGATGCAGATTGGGCAGGTTGTCCTAATACATGTTGCTCTGTCACAGGTAGGTGTACATTTCTTGGTGATTCCTTGATATCTTGAAAGAGTAAGAAACAAGATCGTGTTTTCAAATCTTCGACTGAGTCTGAATATAAAGCCATGTTGGCTGCTTGCTTTGACGTTGTTTGGCTTTGTGGACTGTTTGTAGAAATTGAATTTCCTCATACTAGCCCTACTCTTCTTGATGCTAACAACACGAGTGCTATTCAGATTGTTACCAATCCTGTTTTCCATGAGCGTACCAAATATATTGAAGTGAATTGTCATTCTATTATAGAAGTCGTGGATACTAATGTTATTTCTCTTCCATATATCTCCACTGACCTTTAAATAGCTGATGTGTTTACCAAATCAATGTCTCGTCAATGCCATCAGTTTCTAGTTAGCAAATTGATACTTCTTAATCACCCAGCATCAATTTGAGGGGGGATGTTAGGATCGTCATTTTCAATATAATCATTAGTTTCCATATACATATTTGTTATTTATGTCAAGAAAACAGCTGTAAATATTTGTATAATCATAGTGTCATTAGCTTTCTATAATTAGACTGATCAAGATTATAGTTAATCATAACAGATTTTATGGAATGTAAATTAGAATTCTTCCTATTTGATGAAAGAGACTCTCATGAAGTGAGGTCATTCAGCCAACTTGACAGAGATATGTTTGAAATTGGATCTAGAATTTGTCAGCATAGTACAAAAATAGAAAAGATATTATTTCCTTAAGAGTTATGAATTTTATTCACTATAAATAGTCTTTAATGCTATTAAAAACTTATATTGTAGCCTTTGAATTATTTATTTTGCAAGGATTCCATATCAAATAAGAAGAATTAATTAATAAAAAATTAATTCTTATTTTAAAAGGCATCTAGCTTTTGTTCAACAAGTATTCTTCAACAATTATTTTTCTTGGGTGTTTTTCACTATTATATGCAGCAAAGGTAAAAAAAAAATTTAGACTATTGTTTTATTTATTTTTATTATTTTAAATCTAATTTTAATTAGTTTGAGCTTTATTTAAATTGGATGCATGTCTAACCCTATATAAATACTTTTATGTAAGGATTTTATTTTGTGTAATAACAAAGTTGCTGCATATTATATATGCTCTGGGTGGTGAGTGATTCTCATATTTTGGTTCTTGATTGAACTACTTAAAATTATGGAAGGATTGATCAATCTTCATGGTGTTTTCTATATTTCTTGTAATCTTAACTTTCTTGGGAGAAAATCAATTTATCCGTGGGTTTGTGGATCCTTATATTCATAGGGTTTATATCAATTGGTATTACAACTTGGTCTAATTTCAGGTTATATATTTTCAATTTAAGCTTTTATTTCACGTTAATTTTCTTGATTCTCTATTTCTTTGTTTCGACTAGTTTTTAATTTTAAATCTTTGTTGAAAAGAGCTTTAAAGACTTAAATAAGAAAAATTGAAATTGAAAAGAAAAAACAAGGTCAAGAAACAAATAAATCATGTGAGGTCATGAGTTTAAAAAGTAAAAATAAAATGAGCTTTAGAAAAAAGAACAAGAAAGGAGACAAAAGATTGAAATTCGAGTAACGAACAAAGAAAGTCAATTGAAATAATTGAAATAACTAGTAGAAAGAAGGAATTAAGGATTAGTAAAGAAGAGTGTAAAAAATATTGGTAAAGTTTCTATACAATAAAAAGCAAGATGAAGAGCTTATTTTTCTAATATGTTTATGATTTTAGTTAGACTATTATTCTATTTATTTTTATTATTTTGAATCAAATTTTAATTAGTTTAGATTTTATTTAAATTGAATGCATGTTTGATCCATTAATTTTAAGGTTTATATATAAATCCTCTCATATGAGGATTTTATTCGGTTTTAATAATAATAACAAAGTTATTATATAAATATCAAATTTTAATTAGCTTAGACTTTATTTAAATTGAATGCATGTTTTGACTCATTAATTTTAAGGTTTATATATAAATACTCTCATGTAAAGATTTTATTTGATTTTAATAATAATAACAAAGTTGTCATTTATTGTATATGCTTTTTGTGTGTTGATTTTCATATTTTGGTTCTTGAACTACTCAAACTTACTAAATGATTAACCAATCTTTATAATATATTTTATATTTCTCATTAACGTTGTAATATAGGTGCAACGTGTAAGGTGAAGGTAGTCTTTTTTATAGTCTTGATTGTTCATAACAAAGTTATTATTGGATGAATCTCAAATTTTAAATTAATCTTAGCTTTTTTTAAAAAAAAAAAAAATTATCTGTGGTTCACGAATCCATTTATACATAATGTTCGCATCACTTATGATTATTGAACAATAAGTCTCGTTTCAGGAAATTAGTATTACAGACATTCTTGCATGAGTCATAGATGGCACAATCTTCTTCATTAATCCCACCTAATTTGACTTTTATACTCATTCGTTTGGATCATTTCTTCTTTTTATTTTCCTGCACTCATTAGCAACTGAATCATTGCAATTTTAGAATTTTCTAACCTTTCGTGTACTTGTGAGTATCCCTCCAGGTGCACTATAAAATTGAAACAAGTGTGAAGGGAAATGCTCCAAGTTAGTCTTATCTCACCTTCTCCAGCGCCATGAAATCTCCAAGTGTAGCAGCGGCAGCAATGTCTGCTCTCATGATGTTTCTTTTAGTCACTCCACCTTCTGATGCTGCAATTTCTTGCAGTGATGTAATCAAGGACCTGATGCCTTGTGTGAACTACCTCATGAATGGCACTGGGAAACCACCTGCTGCGTGCTGTTCGGGAATCTCATCTATTCAAGCTGCTGCATCAACCACGGCTGATAAGCAGACAGCTTGTAACTGCATCAAGTCAGCTTCCAAGCAAATAAATCCAAACCCCCAGTTAGCTAACTGTGGAATCACCTTGCCTTTCACTGTTTCACCCAATGTTGATTGTTCCAGTTAAGATACAAATGCCAACTCTATCACTCTGATGACTTCCATCAATGTCTGCTCTTTTCTTTTCACTGCAGCTACCTATACATCTCTATGTTAACCAAAATTTGTTCCTTTTGCAGGATTACTTAGTTGAAATGGAAATGCTCTGGTGAATGCTTTCCGATCCATCTGCTCCTATATATTTCGAGTGAAATAGAATAGGTGTACCTCATTTCATTCATGTCTGCCTGTGTGTATGGGAAGCTTCCCCTACTTTGTTTTAAGCTGGAATGCCCAGTGCGTTTTCTCCGGTAAATAAAGATACCATTATTATTATGGTTAAAATGAGTAAACTCACTCTTAATCCACTTATCTATGACCTATTTATCTATTTTTAATACGGAAAAGACTCTCTCCCCCTCTTTTATCTCTATTTAAACTTTAATGCTATAACAATGACGACATGGCCATCTGAATAAATACACATACATGATGAGATCTCCCAAAAGTCAAGAAGAAGAAGCACTCTTCCAGTCCATCGGATCTCAACATCATCGTAAGCACTTGCATTAAATAGCTACTGGCAAATTGATGAGAACAGTGAAATCATTCGTGTAATATTTAAAGCTAAATTTGACAACCAGCAATGCTCGATTGACCATTAACAATACATCTAAAGCTTAGGATTGGAAGAGTGCTTCTTGCCAATTAGGTTAACTAGATTCGGGTTTATAAAATTAATTAAAGTATATACAAGCTGATACAAACATTCACATTAAAAATAAAAATAATAACTTAAGATTGGACAAATACAATCTGCTATTCATTTAATATGGATGAGAATTCGGCTGGAACTTAATGAATACCAAATGAATAATGGATAGAGTATCAAACTCAACCTTAAATATATACATTGGTATTATATGTATTTTTAGATACACCTACAACATTTATATATTTTTTAATGAACTACAATATAAATACATATAAAGGAGGAGAAAGAAAATTGATGGCCTTAAAAAAACCATAGATAGACCCTAAAAATCCTCTAAAATAGGCCTAAAAAACATACTTTAAACTTTGATTATTAAACCTGAGCCTAATATACATGTAGAAACATACTTTAAACTTTGGTTATTAAGTACTATTTAACAAAAAAATAAACTAAATAAAAATACCACCATGAATGCACCAATTGATTCCCTACACAACCAACATATTTTTTTTACATGTAAAAAAATTATGCTCAAATTAAAAAAAATTACAGTGTCATTAAATTCAACTCAACATATCAAACATGAAATCTCCCAACCATATTTTTTTGTTTAACTCGAGCTTAAAATTAAATTATATATGAGTTGTCCTAGCATGACCTGGTCAACTTAGCAGGTTAAAGAAAATTTGAACGACTAGTAAAAATATGATTTGATTTTAAAAATATTTTCTAGAAGACATCCTTTCTTAAAAAGGTTTTGAGACTACAATGTTTTGAATAAATTCCAATCAACCAAGGTTAACTTATCAAATTTGCAATCTGGATTATGAACTTCATTGAGTTTAATAATTTTATTTTTATTTAAAAAAATTATTTTTATTTAATTATATGATAAAAAATAGACGCCTACAAAACTAAGCATCAACTCAATACGAGGATGTTTTTCTGAGACCATGATAACCTTGTATAAAGAAAACTAAAATAAATAACAAAGTTGAATGTCCAATAAACACAATGTTGAAATATAAAAAATAAAATAAGAAAAAGAAAAAGTAAAAATAAAAGAAAGAAAGAGCAAATAAAAAAAAAAGTTACTGTTATAATGAACAATTAGAACACTAGTGAGAAGAGTAATAATAATTTTCCTTTTCAAATAGCTATTGTTACTAGATAGCTTACTTGTGTTTCGCTGTGGGCTAAGCTGATTTTTTTGAAGTGTAAAAACACAATGCTTAAGTGTTATAAGTGTATTTTAAAAGAGAAAAAAAAAATTAATGAATTGATATCATAGGGAAAAAATTAAAAAAAATAATGATTGTCAATCTTCAATAATCAAAATAATGAAAGATGAAACCAAAAAAAAAATCAATGACAAAAAAATTAAAAAAAATAATACTAGTAAACACAGATAAAATTGAAAAAAATTCAAGATTATAGATCCAATGATGAAATTAAAAATAAATTAAAATTTGATAAAAGGACTAAGAATAAAAAAAAATTAAAGGTCAAAATCTCAAATATCATAAAATATTAAATTGAAGGGAAAAATTAAAAATTCTTAAGGCCATAAATTCACAAAAGAATCTTAAAAAAATAAAAAATTAAGAGAGTGAAGAAAAAATATGGAAAAAAATAATTAAAAAACTCAAATTTAAAATATACTATTTTAAAGTTATGCTCGACCCGATAAGTTGACTTGTAATTTAAAAGACCT